CCTTATCCAAGGGCTGGCCTATTCGTCAACTTGACGTCAACAATGCATTTCTGAATGGTGACTTGGCTGAAACAGTATACATGGAGCAACCCAAGAGGTTCACTGATCAGACACGACCTTCCCATGTTTGCCGCCTCAACAAAGCCCTCTATGGTCTCAAGCAAGCTCCTCGAGCTTGGTTCAATAAGCTCAAGACCTTTCTACTTTCGAATGGCTTTCGTGCTTGCTACTCTGACACATCACTATTTGTTCACAAGTCATCCACTACTACTATTTATCTGCTTGTATATGTTGATGACTTGATCCTTACAGGCAGTGATTCAGGCTACATCAGTTGTTTTATCAGCCTTCTTCATCATGCCTTCTCACTGAAAGACTTGGGACCATTACACTACTTCTTGGGTATTAAAGTCTTGCCTCATGCTTCTGGCTTGATTATGTCTCAGTCAAAGTATATTCGGGATGTTTTGGCCCGTTGTCACATGGCTGATGCTAAGCCAATTTCTTCGCCAGCTGATCCTAGTTCTCGACTTCAGAAAGACGGTGAACCTGTTGCTGATGCACGTCTCTATAGACAAGTTGTGGGTGCTCTCCAGTATGCCATAATTACCCGCCCGGAAATTATCTATGCTGTTAATCGCGTCTGTCAGTTCATGCATTCCCCCACTGTTACTCATTGCCATTGGCAAGCTGCCAAACGCATTTTGCGCTACCTTAAAGGTACGATTGATCATGGTCTACTTCTGCAGCCATTGGCAAGCTGCCAAACGCATTTTGCGCTACCTTAAAGGTACGATTGATCATGGTCTACTTCTGCAGCGTGACTCCTCTACTCTGCGCTACCTTAAAGGTACGATTGATCATGGTCTACTTCTGCAGCGTGACTCCTCTACTCAGCTTCGTGCTTATTCTGATGCTGGTTGGATCTCTGACAAGGATGATTGTTGCTCTCAGTATGGATTTGCCATTTATTTTGGCCCAAACCTTATCAATTGGACTTCTCGCAAGCAACGAGTGGTAGCCCGATCAAGCACGGAGGCTGAATTCCACGCTCTTGCTTATACGACTGCTGAGTTATCATGGCTGCAACAACTTCTCCATGAACTTGGTGTCACACAATCACAACCACCTATCCTTTTATGTGACAACATTGGGGCAACATTCATGACAGCAAACTCCGTCATCAGCTCTCGCTCAAAGCACATTCATCTTGATTATTATCTCGTTCGAGAACGCGTTGACTCAGGTCTTCTCAAAGTTCAACATATCGTCTCTGCTGATCAACTTGCTGATATCTTTACTAAGCCTCTTGGCTCACCTCGGTTCAGTTTCTTAAAGTCCAAGCGCCAAGTACGGACCCACACTTGATCTTGCCGGGGGGTATTAGCGTAATCATAGGGTCAAACTGATAGCATTGATTTAGGATCTGATAGCATTGATTTAGGATCCGATAGCATTGACCTTCCTTATTTATAATTATCATTAATTAGAGGATTGTAATTAGCATTGATTTAGGATCTGATGTAATCCCTTGTACTCTATTTATACGTTCCTATTGTGAATGGGAAAATCAACAATTCATTCAATCTCCTTCATTATACTTAAGATGGTCGAAGTAACTAAAGAATGACAAATCTCCATCATAATCTAGCCCTTTGTTATTCTTTTTCTTTTCCCTCCAAAGAAAATGAAGCAAGATTCTAACGTTTGATCATCACGCAATTGACTTTGGACATTCTTTGGAACAAATTTTCACCTATACCTAAGATTCAGACCAATAATATTCTTTCATGAACCCCACGTCACAAAACGGCCATCCCATATCCACATTTTTTCCCCCTAAAAAAACTTGTGTAAACTAATAATTTCTCCATTCCTCCTTGATGATTTATGTAGGGCTGGATAGTTAAAAGGTTAGGTCAGCTGATGTCTTTTGTCCTTATCACACATATCATATATATGCTGCTTATCACTTATAATGGGCCCAAAACTTACATCATATTGGAATTATTAGCCACCAATTCTGAATATTGCAACCTTCGATCAGCAATATGACCTTATTTTCCTACTTACTTCCTTATTTTCTTGAGTTGGTAGGCCCCGTTGCTTGTGGTGGTCGGACTCGGTTCTGGTGTTCCTCTTGAGGCCTATGTATTAACTTGCTCTAGTCTCAAAGCTAGGCTTAATGGAGATTAGGAAAGGACAAAGTTTGTTTAGCCATTATGAGATCAAACAGGGAACACTATAATCCGCCGGATTATCTGCAACATCAATTTTCTCAATCTTAACGAATACTTGGTTCTTTGATGATACATTTGATATTTAATATATATTGCATTCTGAATATCGCAATACATTATCGCGGTTGAAATTATAATTTTATCTTTTACCTTAGTATTGGACGGAGGGGCAAGAACAAATTTGTTTAGTCTTGAGGAGCTTGGAAAAGGATCTCATTCAAGGGTCATGATAATAATAATTTAAAAAAAAGTTGAGAGGAGTCAAATGAGGAAGGTATATCAAATTCTCCCTTAATCATAGTTTATTTATGACTTTGTTGACTGATATGTTGGCTATGCAAATTTTTTAAGAGGTACACGTGACACAAATATGCATGCTTTGTATCCTTTAAATACCACCAACTATTCTTCTCCTCAAGCAAACACCACCAGTGCCTTCAATACTAGAAAAACCTCTCTCTCTCTCTCTCTCTCTCTAAATGAACTTCTCAAGGAGCTGCTCATACTCTAAGGTAGCTAAAGAAGACCCAGATGAGAAAAAGCACAGAAGAGCACAATTCCTCATCGATAGAGAATTATTGAAGGCTGATACAATCAGCAGGAGGAGATCTAATGCTCCAAGAATGGTGGTATCCAAGTTGAAGATCAAGGTTGGTTCAAGGCTGAAGAGGTCGAGGAAGACTGTCAGCTACACAGTTTCTATTGCTAGAGCAAAGATTTGCGTTTATAAGAAAGTTTTGGAGCAAATTAAGCTTTGGAAACAGGGGATTATAGGCAAAGATACTGATGTTATGATGCTTGCTCCTTTGTTCAGTGCGTGACAATTTCCGTAATTTGTCTTTTTTTTTAAAAAGGAAGTTTGTCATTCAATGATGTGCTTGGTTCTGTACAAATAAAAAGAAAAAATAGGGAAAATATCCCATAAATTTTTGTTTCTGATATTTTATCTGCTGTATGCTAGTGAAGGAAGAACCTACTTACTGATTAGAGTTACTTAATGTAATCTTTTTTTGAAGAACTTTTTTGTTTATCTTATTTTAATGTAAGGTGGGTTCTTCCTATGTTAATAAATATTTTGGTGAAATAATTATCCTTTTCCCCAAAAATGAAATATGGGGCATTTAGCAGCCAAGAAAACTGCATTGTCATATTAGAGTGTGGAAGTCCAAGTCCAAGATTCAACAACCATCTTAGCAAGAAGAGTTCAAACTCTATTAAGCCCCTATGGTTTCATCTGCGAATCTATTAAGCCCCTGTGGTTTTTTTCGACTCTATTAAGCCCCCATGGTTTCATCTATGAATCTATTAAGCCCTCGTGGTTTTTTTCGACTCTATTAAGCCCACGTGGTTTCATCTGCGAATCTATTAAGTCCCATTTGAAATTCAAAGTACGGGGCTTAATAGATTCACAGATGAAACCACAGGGGCTTAATAGAGTCAAAAAAAAAAGAATGAGGGCTTAATAGATTCGCAGATGAAACCACATGGGCTTAATAGAGCCGGAAAAACCACGGAGGCTTAATAGATTCGCCGATGAAACAACGGGGGCTTAATAGAGCCGAAACAAACCATGGGGGCTTAATAGATTCGCAGATGAAACCATAGGGGCTTAATAGAGTTTGGAGTTCTAGCAAGAAAGACATGGGATTTTTGTTTGAGTTATAAAATTCAGAAGGGCTTTGTGCAAAATTCCAAAGTTCAGATGGTTTGTGAAATTTACCATTAATTCTTGCCTGGAATAGAAGTGACCAGGCCCACAGATAAAGACCTAAACATAGTTTATCTCACACATATGGCCCCCCTATTTTGGGTATCTCACAAAACCACCCTCAATTTTAACCTAATCTCACATGACTGAAGTTGCGGCACTCAGCTTCTCCACGAGTCTAAAAGCTTTTGATACTCAAAACAAGTATCTCAAACTAAAAATGCAAACTAGACATGAAACCTATTCATTAGTCAGTTATGAGTGAGGCTGACCTTGCAGTGGTCACTCATGCAAGAGCTCAAATGAAAGGTCCCATATTTAGATTTTTTTTTTTGAAGCTATGGATAGCTATAGTTTGGTTAGAATTATCAAATGAAAGGTCCCACATATTTATCCAAAAGGGGGGGAAAAGATAAAAAGAAGTAACCCATACAGAATGGTTATCTAGTTGAAGACATGAAGTTGATCAAAAGCACAATAGTGTCACACATTTTGTATGACATACTACATGGGTTGATGACACCAATTTAATGAAATAGTGTCACTGCATAACACAGAAGCACACAGGTTCATGAAAGATTTGACAAATTTTTATTACCAATAAATTCCAAACAAAATGTGCTAACTAGAGAACTAACAGAGAACAGTTCGTCATAATCAAATAGAATAACTCAATGCTATGGTAGAAATAAACAAATTAAATGATAAATGTGGGAGAAAAAAAGTTGCAGTAAAAATATCCACTAAAATGCACTATGTATGACTACATTGAGAACCATTTCCGCTGCCATGCACACCGTTAGTTTTTCTAGTGGAAAATATGAAAACCTTGTGAAATATGAATCCTCACTTAATTTCTCTTTCATTCATACCCTCATGCATTTCCTTTCATAAATGTGGAACATTCGACTGAGAAACTTTATTCAAGCAAAACATATATCACGTGTCTCACTCATCAACAAATTTTAAGTGAACTTCGCTTTCGTATCTTCTTTCTCATCCAACATTTTCATTCACCAATCTTAAAGGAATCAAAGCATTACAAAACTCAATTTGAAGAAATATGTGCTTTTATTGATCAATTTAAATATACATTTGATCATGATAACCAAAAAAGAAAAAAAAAGAAAAAGAATGATCTTTAAGGAATTCATAATAGTTATAGAGCTTACTAATACTTACAACGCTTAGATTTCCTCATTTTGGACTTCTTTCTTTACAAGGATCAATAGGAATCATGCCAGATTACCAACAAAAATCACCTTTATTTTAAATTATATGATGAGCATCATAAAAGCCAAACACATAATAATTAGCTGCTGGAGTTTCACTTCTCTTCTATCTCCATCTACAAAAATATAAAACCATTTATATCAGAGGACATGTTTTATCATGTGCTATAGAGGAAAAAAAATATATCAGCATCATTAGTTTTAATATAAAGGGTAATTATTAATTATGGTGTTAAATTTGATTGACATATACTGGTACACTATAACTTGTCTAACTTAAAATACCAACCTTCAAAAGCCTAATATGTGGCATTTAGTAAACTAGATCAAAATTAAACTGTCCTAAAAATATATATATGAGGAACTTTACGAAGAAGTAACTAGGATTTTTACCAGTCTGTGAAGAAGTTGCAGCTGGCAGTGCTGGCATCCTAACAGCTGAAACAATCAAAAGACAAATGTTATTCACATAACTAAAGAAAAGGGGGGAAAGATGATTAGCTATTCTGAAGAACATAAAATGCTGTGTGTAAAAATTCCATAATTGTCAAAGAAATTTTGGATTATTTTGGATCACTTAATACACTTTTTTGAATGAGGGTACTTAAGTGTCATTGAGCCGAAACAAACAAAAATGGACAAAATCGTAGGTTAAAGCCCATGACAATCATGAATTTATATTGCGGATACATAATTGCATTGGGCCAAAAAGACCAAAAATTGCGAATTCAAAGTGCAGAAATATAAATAAAATTGTCATTGGGTCGAAACAGAGAAAAATAAACAATAATGGGTGATAGCTCATCTAAATCGCAAATTTTAAAGCGCGTATACATAATTGCCATTGAGCCGAAAGCAAAATGGAGAATATTTTTAGGCATTTAGTGCATGAAAATTGTGAATTTTGAAGTCGGCGCACTTAATTGCATTGGACTGAAATGAAGTAAAATGAATAAAAATCATGGATTATGGCCTATGAAAATCGTGAATTTTGAAGTGCGGATATCTAACTGTCATTGGTCGAAACAAACAAACAATGAAAAAATTCGCAAGGTTGTATACCCCATGAAAATTGGGAATTTTGAAGTGCGGATACTTAATTGCCATTGGGCCGAGAAGGAAAAAAATTATCAATAGCTCATGAAAATCGTGAATTTGGACGTATGTGTATTAATTGCCATTGGGTCGAACAAACAAAGATGTTATAGCACATGAAAATCGCAAATCTTGAAGTCAATGTACTTAAGTAATATTGAGTCGAAATGGACAAAAATTGTGGGTTACAATCCATGACAGTCGCAAAATTTGAAGTCTGTTTACTTAATTGTCAATGGATCAAAACAAACAAAATATGGACAACAATGGTATGTGTTCATGAAAATCGCGAATTTGAAGTATGCACATTTAATTGGTATTGGGTCGAAATGAACAAAACCATGGGTTATAGCCCATGAGAATTGCGAATTTTATAAGTTTGGATGCTTAATTGCTATTGGGTCGAAATAGAAAAAATGGACAAAAGTCATGAGTTATAGCCCATGAGATCACATATTTGAAGTGCGTGTATTTAATTGTCATTAAGCCCAAACAAACAAAAAGGACAAAAATCATGGGCTACATAACCCATGAAATTCATGAATTTTGAAGTACACATACTTTGTTATTAGGTCGAAATGAACAAAAGTAGGGGAAAAAACTGTGGTTGTCAGCTTATAGCCCATGAAAATCACAAACTTTGAAGCATACATCCTAATTGTCATTGGGTCGAAATGGACAAAAATCATGCTATCTGCATGCAGTTTATGATATTAAAATATAACAAGGATCACGACTGATAGGGATTTAGTCCAGTGACAAGAAATTTATGTCAGTAATTTTCAATGTCGTGTAATTGAAAGATTCATTTACTGTGCTAGGCAATTCAAATAATTTTAGCATTGTTACACTTGACACAATCAATATGCAATTTACCTTAGTATAAACTTTAGAACAGACTACTGGAAACATATCTCTAAAACAAAATGGTGCACAAATTAGACCAAATTAAAACCATACATGATGCCCTTTAGCATGGATTAACCCATGCTGTTCACACTCCCAAAACAATATATTAAACAGGTAATGCTCATATGAATTTGAGACGTGCATCTGCAACAATTTTTGGGTGAATGAGAATGAAAATGAAAATGGATAGAGTTAGACCATACTCTTATTGCAGGAAGATGAAGGTGCCAGAGATGCAGAAGGCCAAGGGGCAGCAATATTATCATTAAGATCACAAGTGAAACTAATCCCTGCAGAAGGATCAAAAGTTGCATCTGAAGGCAAACTTGGCAGGAGGCATCCAGACTCTGAAATTATGTACTAAATGAAATTAATAAGCAAGATCAAACTCCCAGTTAAAAATTGAAAATTTTAGGGCAGTATGTAGTATAATTTATGATATCAAAAGAGGTTTCCTGTTAAGTTAGTTAATAAAATAGTCATTGGTCTTTTGGAAAGTAGCCAAAGATATGCATTACCTTGAGTTCCAACTGGATTATCAATGGAGGAACAATCCCAGCATGAGAAAAACAGCAAGAAAAGTTTATTAGTATGCCACTTGCAATAGAAGATACATAAAAATTAAAAAAATATTACAAAAAGTTATACAGCAACATGGAGGTCATTGATCATCATCATCAATAACCCAAGCTTTCCCATGAAAATGCACCAACTCAAGGAACATTTAGAGAAGTCCTGAACTCAGGTATTTATGCAACTAACCTTGAAGTGAAAAGTCTTTTAGAGTAATATGACAGGATGTATAAATGTTGGTGCTGACATTCATCTTCTGCAACTGATGCCCAAGCTTGGCAGCACAATCCAATGCTTGTAGGTTGGTTATGAAACTTTGCTTTTGCAAATGAGAAACATATTTGCTCATAGAATGACAACATGCTGTATGGTTCTTGATAACATTTCCACACTCTTTTGCGACAACTATTGTATCTGGAAAAACCAAAGGACAAGCTGTAGAAAAGGAAAATAAAATCAGTGATGCCTCTTCACAAATCCATACAAGTTTATGCTTTATCCAAAGATAAATTGAGAAATGTTTCAATATATAATGGAAATAATTAAATAAAAAAATTTTAGTGAGAAACCATAGATAGTATGCAGTGATATTTAATAATCAGCAAACAAGGTCGTAAAGCACATGCATGAAGCCCGACCAACTAAGCAATAAAATTAAGGATTTGAATTTAGTCGAAAAAGGTTTCCAATTCCAATGGATTGGGGAATCGTGACAAGTAGGCACGTCGAGGTCTAAGAACAAATAGTGATCTATGATGTAGCCATCCAAAATATGTAGAAAAGCTTGAGTAATATCATATGGTATACCTATTGAAACGAAGGGAGGACCTTGTCAAGATAGGAGCTTAATATCTAGTTAGATAGTGGAAATTTAAGAAACATAGTTTGACTAAGGATTGCACTTTTTTGTGGTTCATAAAGAAAACAGAATTGATGTTATAGCTTTGCTGGTCTTGGTTATCAAATAAACAAAAAGAACTCAAGCAGTGGACATTTTTAACCGAGAAAAAGGAAATTTTTAAAAACTACCTCCATTCACATTGCAGTTAGATATCCTTCTAAGTACTTTATTAGCAGATAGAGGATCAATCCTACTTGAAATCCATCTGAGGACAACATTTCTGCAGTCCTCCAACCTTGATGAATGCTCAGGCAAACTACGAGCAATATCCATGCTCGGTAAACCACCATCCCTCAATGAAATCTTCGTTGCAGCTTCAAGTATTGCATTCTGACATATTTGGCTACAGCATTCATTAACAGCATCAACCTTCTTGCAAGCAGCTAGAAGTTGAGAAGAATCAACATTACTCTCGAACTCATTGATATCCTTCACAGGGCAGGACCCTTCAGTAAGATTTGATGGGTGGATCGAACAAATTTTCTGAAGTTCATAACTAGCACCCTGGCTTCCTAGAATTTGCTCAACATCCGATAGGCAATAATTAGCATGTGTGCCACCCAAAGCAAGCAACCCGGTTTCTTTGCTTGATTGTCCTATAAGAATTTGTACAGTGGACCTCAACTGGGGGCAGCAAATTACATTGGCTAAAAATGGAGCAAAAGATGTCCAACAATCAACTGCAGTTGTCCTTATCAAACTGTCAGCAGCAGTAAAGTTTAACGTACATTGTCCTACAATAAAAGTGTCGATGGTTAGCGATCTTTTTGCATGTTCTGTGCAGTATTAAATTAAAGGTATAAAGGTATTTTTTATATATACCCCTCAAATCATGCGTATTTGCATAACTACCCCCCCCCCAACTCAGCATTTGCAAAAGTACCCCCCAAATCAACAAATCATCAACTTTGATAGGCCAGTTTGAAGGTATAATGTAGATCTATTGACAAAGTAGTCAAATTTTTATTCACCATATCCAACAAAATTGATGATCTGTTGATTTGAAGGTAACTCTTTTCAAAGTCCATGGTTTGAGGGGTAGTTTGCAAATACTAAGGTTTGGGGAAGGTAGTAGTTTTGCAAATACATGAGTTAGGTAAAGGGTGTGTAGACAAAAATCCCTAAATCAGTTATATGAGCAATATGTAAGGTAAACCTGATAGTTTTGGTCTGCTGTTGTACAGAAATGGTGCTAAGGGTGAAGGAGCAAGAAGGGGTATTAATGGTTGAGGGGCACTATTTGGAGATATTTCTGGCAGAAGTGGATTATCCTTCTTGTCTGCAACTTTCAAATCCACTAGATGCATCCGCGGAGAGCCATGAACGACAAACTTATCCAAAGTACAAAGGCCTTGTAAAGCTGAAAGAAACATCACATAACCAGCTCTTTAGCTCAAACGCAAAACAAATTGGAAACATCAATGGCGTTAAAAAATTCCGACGGAAAAACAGCTCTTTTAAGAAGATATTTATAACTTGGTCCTTTACGATGCAAGCTCTACGTAGCAAGATAACATAGGGGGGGGAAATATGGCTAATTATCATATTGACACTTTTTTCTTTTTCTTTTTTACCTCTTCAGAGGCCTCATCTATGGATACCAAAAGTTTGAATGTAATTGACAAACATTTCAAATCCAGCATGCCATGTAAATGAACTTTTTAGCAGATTCCTCACAAATTAGAACTATGAATTCTGAGTTATTAAGTGCAAAGTGCACTGGCATCAGTAAACTAACATACAACAAGAAACTATCAGAAAAGAGGTCACTAAGTAAACCAGTGGTCCAGCATGATTATTGTCAATTTCATAATTATCATTCGACAATGTTTAGAACCAACTATCAAGTTAAATGCAGGGCAAACTGCAAAAGCCAATCGAACTGTATGAATTTCGTAGAATGAGATAGGTTCAGCGACGAAGATGGAGTAAGTTCTTTCCAAATACCCAAGCAAGTGTGCTGATGATCTATCTAAGTGAGCTTAGATTTTTTTTTTTCAATTCCACATCCACAAATTTAAAGTTCATGATCATCTTCTACTTTACATGAAAATATGAAACTGTGGAGATTGTATGTAGTCCCTGCAGATCAAAGGATTCATTGGGATTCAGAGACGAAGATGGAATAAGTTCTTTCCTTTCTTTTTTTTTCGTTTTTCTTTTTTCCCCCAACACAACAACGACCCAAAATACCAGCAAATCCCCAACACCCATCTCACAAAACCCCTCAAAGAACAGCAAAGAACCCAACTTTCCTGCTAAAATCACCAAAAGAAGAAAAACCCATCAAGGGAACGAGGGATCACTGACCTGCGAGCAAGAGGAAGGCCCTGATAAGCCTCAGATTGGGAAATGGGAGAGCTTTTCCAGCCATCACCTCCGCTTGAGTTCTCTCCCGCTGCAGGAGAGAGCAGCGTAGCTATCTAGTGCTGGGGGGGGACGAAGGATGGTGGGATTGGTGCTGGCGCCATTAATGGGAGCAGAGAGGATGCATTCAAGCAAAAGTGTGGGGCTTGGTTTTAATTTTTAGAGAGAGAAGTTAGAGAGAGAGAGAGTCTCTCTCTCTACTGGAGTACAGCTGCATTGAACTGCTTTTGTCCCCCCCAGCAAACACAGGGCACTCATGGCTAGGGGTGGAAGTGAACCAAATATTTAATAAACAGTTCGGCTAATATTCGTGCAGATATTCGGCCATATTCGATCCGACAGTTCATTTAACACTAAATGAATATTTTTCAGTATTCGGCTTATAAATGAATAGAATTTAACTAAAGGTATATTCAATTCGACTGGTTATTAACTATTCGATAACATTTTATATGTTAATACTATTAATTAAACCTGTTGTAAATATAACCCATCAAAATTTTTTATTACAACTTCTACTCATATATAAATAAACAAGTTTATGGACCTAGGGTTTCACATGTCCTTTGGATCATGAATGAACGGTTCAGATTTGCACTTGACATAATATAAATAGCTTTAACAAGTGCCCTATCTCATAAGTCATAACCCTAGATCTGATTCATCTGAAACCGCCGAAACTCCCATCTCCCTCATCATCTTCGCCGCAACTCCCTCGTCATCTCCGCGCCTCCTCTACCTCCGCCGCCTCCAATCACCGCCTCCAGCGCTCAGCGCCGCCAAACCCCCAGCCCGCAGCCTCCAGCTCTCCATCTTCGACCCCCTGTCCAGATCCGCCCGAACTCACCTCAGGCCGCCGCCTGACCGCCGCCGGCAGCCTCGAGATCCAGCGCCCAGCCGCCTCTCCCCTGACGTCAATGGTAAATCTCTGTATCTGTTAAATATGCATATTCTTATGATTGTGGCTTTTTCCTTGCAATGTTTCTTTGCTCTATTCGGCCATTGATTTTTCTTTGCTTCTACTTCTAATTTTCCTCTCAAGTTTCAGACATTCTTGTTCATCAAGACCATTTTCATTTCTGGATTTATAGTGAAATAAGTATATTCACAATTGTTCTAGTACATTTGTGGCTTATCATAGTAAGGTTACTAAATTCATTAATTAGCTTCTGGCTAATAAGATTGGGAATCTTTGTTCTGCCCATTAAATGCTAATCCTTTTGATGTATGAAATGTTAAAGATATTGATTTTGTCTTGTTGAAGCAGTAAATAAACTCAATGTTAAAGATCTCCTTTTGATGTGGCTAGTTTGTGGTCTGGATTTGGTTACTATTAAAGAAGAGGTTCAAAGGTCAGAAACCTATTAGTACTCATTTTACTACAAAAGTTAGAGTGTAGCTTCATGGCAAGTGGACTTTTAGAGTTATCATAGGGGTAGGTATGTGTTTTGGGGATCAAAATATAGTTTGAGATATTGATGGCACGTAATTGTGATCAGAAGTTGCGTTGCCAGCCCTAAGAATCAAACAAACACAAATTAGAGATCTTTTTTAATAACATATAGCAAAAATATGTTAAAGCTTTAGTTGACATGATATCAAGTTCAATACTTCCATATGCATAAATTTGTGTTTCAGCTTTACTTCTACAGCACACAAAGAAAGGCTAAAGTAATATATCAATATATTAATTAAAATGCATCATGTCAGAGTTTTTTTTTGTTATATGTAAGCTTTGCCAGAAGCAGAGGATAAACTTTTTGTAAACTATATTATATACATGCCAGTAAACAACAAAGCAAATAATTGTGGTCTTCTCCATTGACATATCAAGCATTAAAGGTAAAATATTATACAGTTAATTGGGCAAATGATGATCCAGAATGATTACAAACAATTTATTGATTTTGTCTCTTAATTCTTCGTGCAGGTGTCCTCAACACTGAAGAGCGTTCGTTACCTGGAATTCAAGAAGACTTGTGGTTATCAACAGAGTCAACCTCTACCTTAGATGGTGAAAGCTACAAATTGGAAAATCTTGAAGGAGACTTGTTTGAGAATGAACGAGCTTCCATCCACTTTTTTCTTAATATGTTCTTTTGGAAAGTTGTAAAACTTCTTTATGTATGAGTTAAGATCTTGGTGTGTAGCAAATTTCACTTTAAAATACCTCTTTGTTTCCTATGTATGTGGTAATGTGATACTGAGTTACTAGATAAGTTGGATTATTGGATAAGCTGGTAACTGGTGATTGCTATGTTGTTTTAGATTCCAATTTCTTAATATATTGATTTGCGAATAATTGTCGAATATATATTGAATAGTTGATGAATAATTTGATATTTAAACAGGAAATAGTGTTAATCGAATGTTCGCGAATAGTTATCGAACACGAGCACAGATAAACGAAGCGAATTCCCCTGCAGGCCAAACTTATGAATGGACACGCGGTCGGGACTTCTTTTGGGGACGTTGGGCCCACAACAGCCAGAGAGAGCTCATATTTGTGCCTAATTGTGGTCTTATTACTGTTAATGATGAATGGATAAGGGTAGGTGAAGCCCATTAACTGATCCACCTAAAGCTCGAACCATTACTAGGGATGATTTCGCCGTCGGTCCATCATCACCCTCTCTTAAATTCCGGCGTTTCCTAATAACCCCCTTTGACTTTCGAAATGTCACAACCCCGCCCCCCTAGCTCCCTCCCTCAGGTTTTCTCAGAAGACCCCCTTAAACCGTGAAACATAATTTCTGCAGGCAAAAAATCTGCATTGAAGTGCTTATCTATTCCTCTATAATAATAATGGGAGGATCCAAAATTCATTATTCATACTACAGTAAACAGTACAGTAAATCACTGTAGCTTTTTTATTACTGTAGCATAGACAGAGGATCCAATATTTACTATTCATGTTACAAAAAATACTGTAGTATTATTACTGAAGCACAGGCGGAACTGTAGCATTTTTAAAAGCATTACTATTGTATCTCAGGCGGGACACGGTAACATTTTTAAAAATTACTGTAGCACTAAACTGTATTTTAATACAGAATTACTGTAGCGAAAATAAAAAAAATGAAGGTTGTGCTTTGCATGGGGTGCACACTAGTTATAGTAAAGAGAAGAGAAGAGGCTGAGATGGGAGATGAGAGCCGAGATGGTTCGCCTCTTCTTTCTCTCTATTTAATCATAAATTGGTAAAACCATAAAGTTAGTAAAGAATATATTAGCCGGTTGAAAGATTGAAATGCAGAAAAGAGAGAACCAATGAGGATTCAGGGATAAACTAGCAAATATCCACTAATGGGGGTAAATTTCCACAAATATGAGATAGTGGGGAGCATACATGCAAAAGGCCCTCATTGTATGAAAAGTAGCGCTCAAGTTTACTCTATTTTCTTATTTTTCTTTTGAAGTTATTTCGACATTAGCCCCCAACATCTTCAACAACTAGATATTCACACCCAAAATCTTTAAAATTGCCCTCAGACTCCTCCAAATCTTCAATATTTTGATATTAGCCCTCTAAATCTCTGAAATTGGTCTCAAGCCCTCCAAATCGTATTAGTATGTTGAAATAAGCCCCCTAGTTGAAATCTAATAGAAATGCAAGGAATATTCTGTTTACTTTAACATTTTTTGGTGATTTGCCAATTTACTCCTCACACAAACCTCAACTCATTAATCGCTTCAGCTTGTACCCATTAGACTCCCCAAATCCGTTTAATAAAACTCTAACCCAAAACTAATTTTCACTTCATCTTCTCCAACACCTGTCACAACACCTTTTTACAATCCTGATCCCAATTTTTGCAATGGATAGATTCGCAATGAGAAAGATGTTAAAGAAGACGTTGGAGAAGATGAAACGGAAAATGGGTTTGAGTTAGAGTTTTATTAAACAAATTTGGAGAACTTAACTGGTATAAGTTGAAGTGGTTAACGAGGTTGGTTTTGCGTGAGAAGGGTATAACTGACAAATCACCGAAAAGTTGAAGTAAACATAATCCCCCCCCCCCCCCCGATTTTCACTAAATTTATTTATTTATTTTTTGGGGGGGGTCTTATTTCAACATACTAAAAGGATTTTTGTCATTGTTGTTGTGGCGGGTGGTGGCTTTTTTGGGGAGGCGTGCTTGAGATTCAATTTCAAAGATTGGGGGGGGGGGGGCTAATATCAAGATATTGTGGGGGAGCCCAATTATGGAACTAACCAATGTGTCCTTTTCTCCTCCTCCATGCACGGATACATTTATGAATCTTAACAAGTTCTATATTGGACCCCTTAGGTAGATAGATAGTTGCATTTATTCCAACTTTTTAATAGAAAAAAAAAAGTAAAAACTTATGAAACTTCGACCACAGCCTCATATGGTTACTTTCACATGGAAGTCACAGTTGCCCTCCCAAAACAACGCTCAAACACACAGTATCCCCGTGATACGAACTGCACTTTATTTGTTTCCATAAATTTATCAAATTATTATCGACATCCCCATTATTTTCCTCCGAGAACCATACATGCAAATTAGATAAAGCGAGGGTGTTCAGTGCAAAACAACGCCTCTTCGTGGTTTCATCACCTTTTTATAGTTTCTTTCGTCTTCAAACTTTTTATTTTTTTTCTTCTCTCTTTCGGTTCAGCCAAAGAGATCAACTTTATAGATCTTGGTTCTCTTCGGTCCGCCGCTCTCTCTCTCTCTCTCTCTCTCTCTCTCTCTCTCCAGATGGCGTCGTAACCCTAGACCCAAATGAAGAAAGCCCGACAAACCATGCCAGGTTTCGATTGAAGGCGGAATGGCGGTGGCGGGAAGGGGAGCGGGGGCCACGACGCCAGCTGGCTGATCAAGTGAAGGCTGACGGGCATTGAGAGCGGGTCTGCACCCGAATCCGGTAAGGGGAGGGTGAGGATCAGGGTTGTGTCGGCGAGGAAGCTTGCTGCTGGGATCTGGAACGCCGATGGCGGATTAGGGTTTGAGGTGAGAATGCTCGCGCCTTGTTTTGGAAATTTTGGTTTTTGGGAGGCTGGGTCTAGAAAAGATTGGATTTTGATGGCACTGGGGAGCCAAAAGTTTCGATTCTCTGCTTTAATGAATATCATTAGGTTGCAATTGTACGTTTTCCCCTGAACTTTATGGATGAAGTATATAAATTACCTGTAAATTTGAAGATTTGTGAGGTTGAGAGCTTTCTTATGCATTCTAGTGAGAGAAGTGAAGCATAGATGGGGATCTTGGTTGTTGGGTTTTAATGGATTTGATTGCTCCAAAATGAAGGGGAATATTGTAAATTATTTCTATTTCATTATGTCTAGAATTTTATTCTTGCAGCTCGCATGACTCTGTCCATGCAACTCTTTATTGAAACATCTCATTTTGGTTACATTTTTCTAGAGAACAAAAAATGTCAAAAATAAACTCTTTCAATGTTCATATTTTATCTAAATATTTATGAGAAGACTGGTCCCTTGTTATGTTTTGATGTCTAAATCTGACTTTTGTAGTGTTGTCGCTTGTCAGAATTGAATGGATAAAGCTGTAAGCTATAAACCTGCATTGCAGTCTGAACACATCTTGCATATGCCATACTGATACATACAAATTATCACTATGATGTAGTATTTATGCGAACCACGTAACAAACTTTTGGGCATGAAATAGATGTACCCTAAATTTTTGCAGCAACAACTTATTCCTCGCTAATTACTGTTTGTAGCTTTGCCTGTTGTTTTCGCTCATTACCATGTATTTCCTTGCACAGCCTAGTGTCGTTGATCTCCATCGCTCTGGCGCCCATGAGAATTCACAGAATGTTCGTCGGCCTCCAATGTTGATGAATGACCGAAAGATTGATATTTTGCACAAGGTTTGACCGCTCCAAACTTTCTTTTCATGTGTTACAGAAAAAAGCTACCTGCTTCATTGCTTATATGTTCAATGTATTATGTATATATATCAGTTTGGTGCATTTGTTGCATTTCCAGACCCCTCAATGGAGGGGGCAAGCAAATGGAACCCTGGATGCTATACTCATTTGAAGCTTCTCGATGACCAACAGTCTGAGCTTGAGCTTGCTCACAGAAGGATTACCGAACTGGAGACAGAGCGACACTTAGCCAAGAAAAAACTTGACCTTTTAGTGAGAAAGCTCGCAGAGGAGAAGGAATCGTGGCAGAGAAAAGAGCATGAGAAGATCCGAGGTGTGATTGATTCCATCAAGGATGACATCCACAGAGAAAGGAAAAATCGGCAGAGGATGGAGATAACAAAATCCAAACTAGTGAATGAACTTGCAGAGGCTAAATCATTGGGAAAGAGGTTCTTGCAAGACTATGAAAAGGAGAAGAAGACTCGGGAGCTTATGGAGGAGGTTTGTGATGAGCTGGCGAAGGAGATTGGGGAGGATAAAGCCAAGGTAGAAGAAATTAAAGCAGACTCGTCGAGGGTTAGAGATGAGTTAGAAGAAGAGAGAAAGATGTTGCAAATGGCTGAGGTTTGGCGTGAAGAGAGAGTTCAGATGAAGTTAGTCAATGCAAAAGTGACGCTCGAAGAGAAGTATTTGCAGCTTAGCAAGCTTCAGGCTAAGATTGAGGCCTTTCTAAAAGCCCGAAGCAGTGAGGAGGAGAATAAAGAGGTAGAGGTACTGAGGGAGGCGGCCAATTGTGCTAAGGCACAAGAAGTTAAGGAGTTCTCTTATCGGCCTTCTCCTCGTTCAGAGGAAATCTTCTCTGTTTTTGAAGAACTCAAGACGAGAGACAAGCCCAATGAGAAAGAAATTGAAGCATGTGATGCTAAGGGGACTGCTGCTGCTGATGATGATGATTGTGGATTGGGAACTGTGAGTCATGGTGAAGAGCAAGGCTCGAGCAATTCTATAGAAGGAAGTGAACCATCGGTTAATGAAATTTGCGAAGAGAGTAGTGCATCAGTTAGTGGCAGGGATTGGGATGAGAATGAAGATAATGGAAAGGTCAGTAGTGAGATCAGCGAGGTTTGTTCTGTGGGCACAAAGCAATCTAGGTTTTGGAGGCCTTCATATCAAAGCAATGGCGAAAATGGTCATAGGAACTCGACAGAAAATGGAAGGTTATCATATGAAAGGATTTCTAATGTCATCTTAGTTTCTGATGGAATGTCAGGGGAAATGGGTCTAATCTCGCAAACTGTGGGATGTTGTAGCTCACCAGAGTCTGTGAATCAGTGTATAAATCGAGGAATTGAGCAGTGCATTGAGTGGCCTCGAGGAATCGAGAAGCACAGTTTGAAAGCAAAGCTTTTAGAGGCGAGGATCGAGAGCCAGAAGATTCAGCTACGCCCAGCTCTGCAACAAAAGATATAGCACTGCTTCATTGTTGATTTATTTGATATCTTGTAGCAATTGTGAAATGCTCGATTAGCTATAGCCTATGCATTTCCCAATATGTGAGTACGATCTTGTTAAAAAAGTTATGTCATTCATGTGCATACCTGGTAAATGTGCTTCACAATCTGCGAGCTCTCTCGCAGCCTTGTTGCGTTACTTCTATTTTTCCCAAAGCATGAATTCGTTTGAAGTAAACAGGGTCAAACAGGGTCGGATACGAAACCAGAAGTATAATTGCTGGGACTTGAACCCGGGTTGCCTGGGTGAAAGCCAGATATCCTAACCAGACCGGACGACCACACAATATGCGTGACCTTAAAGTTCAAAATGTTGATTCAAATTGACTGCTAATACTTGTGCTACACTGTTACCATCTCATAGAAAACCGTCATTGCCATTTTACCTTGTCTGTGGGTTATGAAGGGCAATTTCGATAAAACACCGAGTTTACGAAGTAACTAGCATTTTTATTACCATCATCATCTATTCGACAGTCTGGCACATTATATGTCAATTACTACACTCCGACTTGAATTCGGAGGTCATCATAAAAAATATTGAACATAAGATCTAAATTACTTTTATCCTAAGACATGCCGGATCCATACCTGGCGGGTCCTAGGACATTATCTAGCTCTGATGCAATGTAGTAATGGTATGATGAGAAATATAGCCTAACTGACGACATGTCCCACTCTTTTCGTCGACGACGGCTCCACAGCACGACAGTCTCTACAAGCGAGGATGATACTCCCAAGCAATCCTTTACTCTTCTCCCCTTTCTTCTTGGACTCGATATTCTGCATATCTTCCGCTACCTCGTTCCTCTTCTCAGGACTAGAAGCTGAACTCTTCGTCGTGGGCAAACTTTCTTGAAATGACACCTTCTTTGGTGTCCCCTTATCTGCTGACTTCCGATCATTGCCCTGTCTCATACACCGCCTCCTTCTGCTCGATCCATTCTGATCGGTAGGAGACGCATATTTCGACGAAATGGTACAATTGTGTCGGAACTCGAAACTAGGGGCTGATGTTAGCTGTTTAGGATACCCGAGCGACGATGGAGGGTTGTTTGGTTGCAGCTAAGGAGGTGAAAGAAAGGTGTCTTCATCTCTGTCCATGAGGGTGGTGCAATGAGAAAGAGGGCTTAGCGTGCTTCTATTTACATGAGGAAAGTGTTGGATGGTTGATGATAAGAACTAAGGATTTTTTATGTCGGTATGTTGAGAATTGGTGAATTTAACAAAGTATTGAAAAATGTTTGCTTCTATTTGTCCAAGTACTGAGATAGTGATGCATATAAAACGGGTGTTTGGCCTGGATGTAAGTAGACTTGAGGCCTGAATGCTGGCTCGGTGGACGACAAGTGACTGCAGTTTCAGATTTAATCTATGTAGTTTAGACTATGCTGAAAGAATATAAACAAGGGTTAATTGCAGATAGGCACCTGTACTATCGTGAATTAAGGATAGACCCCCTTAAGTTCTATTGTTGTATTGCAGATAGATCCCATATATTCTATTGTTGCAGATAGACCCTAAGTCTATTTAAAAAAAAACTATTTTCACCCTCAGAGAAAGAGAAAATTGTTATTTTTTAAAAAAACAAATAACCCTCTTGAATTCATCAAAAGGACATCCAAAGTATCCATGAATCATCAGAGTATCCAAGTAGTAGATAAGTATCATGCAGAAAAACATAGCCTCCTTCAAAGTATTATGATCACATAAAACCAAAATTAAACGATACATAAGTAAAGATCAAAAAATTGTCATATCTAAATAAGTTCTAAAGGCATTATAAAGAAATACTATATATATCTCAAAGCAAGCGCACAACAATACAGGAGATATCATCCTTACTTTTCCTGTTAACAGCTTCCTCAATGAGCTCCGCCGCCGCCTCTTGAGGATCATTTATATGCTTAATAGTATTCACTGCCTCTTGATTCGACATAACCTACATTAACATAAAACACCAAAACCTTACTAAAATACATAAGAATAAAAAGGACTCAATTTTATGTCGTAACGCATTAGCTAATAGTAGTTACCTTCCACAAACCATCACTTGCCAAAATGATGAACCCTGCTTCACTCTCTATCATCTCCACAATAACATCTGGATCTGAACTTATGTGTTCTTTCAATGTACTATCACCAAAAGCCCTTGACATTGCTAATTGCCCATCAACTCTTGGTACATTACCTACAATAGAAATGGAATAAATATTGAGTACTGACATTCTGCACTGGAGAGTTCTTACATGAGCTGCATTGTCAAGGTTTATAATCCATGCAGTGTATCACATCATATAATGTCAAAGAAACAATTTTTGTGGAATTTTGCATTGATTTTGAAATCAATTTTCACCTTTCAGCATATGAAATGAAAGAAGATTTAAAACTTATAGGAGGGCATCCTCAAATCAATTTTATGATGAGGTGCTCCTGAATAATTTGGTGGTTCTTGTTATGATGGAGGGAGAGGGATAGTCAGGTTCTATTTATAATTCTGTAAATAGAATACATATAGTAACATATTCTTTCACCATCAATTGCAGATAAGTCCCTTGTAATATCGTTTTTTTTAACTTACTACTCCTCTACTTCTATTTTTGCATATAAACCCCCTGGGTGAAAAATGTCCCTTTTAACCTCAAGCAGTCTATTTGTCGAAAAATATTTATCTTAGGGGTATATCTCCACACACAAAAAAAAACTAAACTAAACTAAACAGGAAGCAAGTGGAGAACAATGGTATTGCAGAGGGGTCACTCATATACAAGTATACCTTTTACATTGGTAACGAAGCCTCCTCTCTTCTCTATCGCGCGTCGCTCCTTCATCGGCTCATGATCTACCGACAACTGACGAGCCACACCTCCCTCGCTAATCACTGCACGGGAATCTCCAACATTCCCAACGACCAGCTTCTCTCCGTTGATCAGTATAACAGTGACTGAAGTCGACCCTCCCCTCTTTCGAACATCTCTTCTTTTCCTCTTCAGTATCTTCTTGTCAGTTCTCTGATATGCTCGTCTTATTGCAGTCTCAGTCTCAGTCCAGAAACCTGGCTGCTTTCACAAATTTAAAAAGTCTAGTTAACAGTTCCTCCCACTTAAAAAGTAAGGGTAGATTTCAGAAAACCAAATTCGAAGGGCTGTGCACAAAACCCTTCGGAATTCTCTAAACCAGACAAAACTACCATGAACTTCCAAAATTAGACAAAACCAACGTAAACTACTAATTTTATCATAACTTTGCTAACACGAAGAATAAAAGGTATAAATCGTACCGTCGTTATTATCTGCCTATCATGGAGGCGAAATTGTTCAAAACATGTCACATGTGAAGCACACGACAACTTAAACCAAGTGTCATAAGAAAAGTGTTCGCCTTAATTTTTCTCTAACTTGGACAGCCCATTGAAAAGTTTTTACACTGTAAAATTACGTAAAAATTAAGAAATGCATGGAGTAAATCAAGGACTGATCATTACTTCATTTAGAATGTTGTCGAAAAGATTGTTGCGGAGATAACTTGCAACGTCATTTCCAGAATGGCCGTCAAATATGGCGAATAATCCGACCTCGCGATCATCGACCTCCTTGAATTGAGCAACATGATAATCTTCCATGGCATGGTTTAGTTTACCCTCAACCAAATGAAAGCCATATGTGACCTTCCTACTTGATGCCTTGCTTTTGCCTTTGCCTGTATCACATACTTCAGGATCTTGAGAGCTTATTATTACCTAAAATGAAATTAACTCCGATTAGATTGTAGAATAGATTTCAAAATAACTACGCTAAGTAATAAACATATGCGAACTAAACTACAAAAAGATAGTTGAAAATAACAAGCAGAGAAGACCACACCTCCATTATTCTTGAGCATAATGACACGTAGCAAATTATATTTGATGCGCTGTCGTTGAAATTTAGAAAATCTCCCTTAACCATGGGCGGAATTTCTAAAAACCCCCCACTCAACTATTTTAGTTTGAGGTTATGTAGTTGGTAGCTGCTGGGAAAAGTTTGAAGTTCAGGAGGTGAGGTTTTGTAAGACACCCTAAAGACTATACCGATTATGTGAGATAAACAAAGTTCAGAAGAGTATGTGGATGTTTTGGGGGATTAACCCTTATATTTTTCATATGTTAAACAAAACCTGCACCATGGGCGGAATTTCTAAAAAACCCCTCAACTATTTTAGTTTGAGGTTATGTAGTTGGTAGTTGCTGGGAAAAGTTTGAAGTTCAGGAGGTGAGGTTTTGTAAGACACCCTAAAGACCACCGATTATGTGAGATAAACAAAGTTCAGAGGAGTATGTGGATGTCTTGGGGACTTAACCCTTATATTTTTCATTTGTTAAACAAAACCTGCAGAAACAAAATAAATTTTCACAACATATGCTAAGCACATGAAGAAACTATACTGCAGGCATCAGACTCCAAGCTCAAACTAGCAGGATGTACGAGACATTCACAATGGTAAGTAAAAGCAGTTATGAGAATTCCACAAACTGCAGAAATTTCCAAAAAAACAGGGAAGGGGGTAAAATAATTTTCATGTACAGGAGCAGATCGAATCAGAAAGCAGATATCATTCATCATTGGAAGGTAACAAGTACCCACATGGTAATATTCTGTTACATAATTCAGTAACATTCAGAGCCAGGCACATAGATTATTTGATTCACATCCATGTTCTTGAATAAAGAGACAAATGTCTTCCGTCATGAAAATTTTAACTTACTACAGAATCTCTAATATAGGTAATACTAGGCAGTATATTCTGTAAAATATGTCATATTATCGGATAAACACTGGTCTCAAAAGGGAAACTTCATTTAAAAGCTTCAACGGGTAGACGTTTTTGATTTCTCCACAAGCACGATCCTACCATTCCACTCAGTCTGATCAACTGCACGTATTGCCGCATCAGCATCTTCATCCCTCTCCAAGGATAAGAAACCAAATCCACGAGATTCCCCAGATCTACAGCGGAAGGAAAATGTCAACAACATGCTGATTCAAAAGCAAACAAAACTTGAAGGATAAAGAAAACCATTGGAGATTCTGCTTAATAATGAAATATTGAAGATATGGAATCAAGGTGCATGAGGAGACCAAAAGGATCACTGGATTGCCATTTCAACTCAAAGCACACATGTCCAACTACTTAACAGTGACCAAAACTTGAAATGTGTCCTTTATCATTTTAGAGAAAACGTAAGAAATTAACAACAGTATAGAGTTAACAGTTCGCGGATATAATGGAAGATAATACTTGACAGGTATCACTCACTAACTTCAGTCTTGATGTCAGTTCTGCAGTATATGTCAAAACTCCACATCTAGATTGATAGTCAAAGGTGGAGGCTTAAACTCTACACTGAACAATACAGGCTTAGTGAGCACAACTTATAGGTTCGGAAATATATTTATCCAAAGTTTGGTGAAAAGACAATAAAATCAGATCCTCTTGAAAACCCTGATCCAAACAGAGGACTAAAGTAACCAAACCTGTACAAACAAGTCCATAAGAAAATAATGATGGTTAAACACAACAAATAGACTCACATAGAGAAGACTTGTGTTTCCTTTTTGTGTGTAGGCATAGTTCACTTCAGCTAAGCATGTTTGTGCAGTGACATGTTCAAGCTCTAAACTCTACTCCACCTCTGATACCAAATTGATGTCACTGTCCACTACATGGGTCAGAAACTGGAACCACAGAAGAGAGCAGATATGGAAATAAAAAATGAATCTCTAAATTATACTTCCTCTTTCATAATTAAGTCTTTGGCTCAGAAAAGATTAGGATGTAAGTTGGAACATAGGTATAAAGGAGTAAAAAATCAAAACATTTTAAACATTTATTTGGGAAAATTTGGGAAACTGGAAAACATTCCCACAAAGAAGAACATGCATAAACCGTCGACTTGCTTGTAGTGGAACAATCAGGGAACTAGAGGTGGTTGCATAATTCATAACAAATGAAACCTTTATAGCCGTAAGTTCAGTGACAAATATTCTAAAATCAAGTAAAGATAGCTTATATCCAGTTACAAATGAAAGCTAAATATCTGTAATTTCAATAACAAATATTCTTAAATCAACCAGTGACAGTTTTCATCCAGTGAAAAATTCCAGTGTGATACCTCACCCCCCCCCCCCCCCCCCCCCCAAAAAAAAAAAAACACACACGCACGCAAACCCACTCACCATAACCCCACACACAACCACACCAAAATATTTAACATCCTTCCATTCAGTGAGACAAGTACTTCAACCAGAATAATGGTGAAATTCCTTCTGGAACATTTCTATACATTTTGGTGAGACTGGCAAGTAGTTGTTTCCCGATATCATTTTGGATAGCAGGTATACAACAGAAAAAATGTCATTCTTTTAATCTAATTTCCTTTAATTTTCAACAGCATATTATAATTTCTCAACCAGTTCCTTTCAGTAAGACTTTGAAAACCGCCCGATATTCAAAACAAGAATCAGACAATTATTTTGTTGCTAGTTACAAGAGAAGAAACTACAATGAAGATGCACCAGAATTATGGGCTTATGTGGTCAAGGCAAATAAAAGTTTAGTACTATATAAGTAAATCGTCACTGACCAATCAAAATAACTACTAATATCTAATAGAACCATTCAGATAATAAGAAAGCAATATGCTGATATGTAGCCACCATTTGTCACTTGTATGCTATTGATCCTATGTTGACGTTTTATAGAACAGGAAGCTAATAAAATAAAGTCACCTTTTATCACGAACTATGCGAACATCTGTAACACGGCCAAACCTTGAGAACTTCTTTTCTAGATCCCTCTCAGTAGTAACATAGCTAAAACCTGCAACAAATAAACTGTTTCCAGGCTTCCCCAATCCTGTGTTTCGATTGGCAGGTGGTGCCCACGGCCTCCTTGGAGAACGGCGATGAGAATGGCTAGGTGGAGGGGACCTGCGTCTTGGAGACGGCCTTCTCCTGATAATAACAAAAATAACAAAAAACAATTCAAGGGGAAAGTATAAGAGGAAATACTCAAGATATATAGCAAATATAGCTTTTCTTCCTTATCCATTTCAAACCCATTGTCCTGACTTCTGTTCGTAACAGGCATACTACTTTACTAGTTGCACCTAGCCAAAGGGATTGGAAAAAAACATAAAACTATTTATACTACTAAAGAAAAAATTAGAAGAATTAGGAACATAAATAGAACCAAGCTCTGTTTCCCAAATTACTGAGCTGATATGTTTCCCAAAAATAGATCTCCATGAAGATTAAAACAAACAATTTTCAAGAAAGGCAAGGAAGTCCAAGAAGGACGGCTCTGAAGACAAATTCACCTCGGGGATCTTCGGTAACGATCCTTGGCATAAGGAGACCTTGATCGAGATCTACGGGAGTGATCTCTTCTGCGTGCAGGAGAATCTCTTCTCCTCACAGGTGAGCGTGACCTTGACCTACCCCTCCTCCGTGGAGAGTCGCGCTTTTGAGGAGATGGAACTCCATGTCTCCTTGGAGAACCATCTCTACGGCAAGAGTCTCGCCGTGTTGTCCTTTCTGAAGGAGATTTCTGCCTTTTAGAAGAAGAACGATCACGTGATGAAGGCCTCTTGCGACCACCACTGTCTTTTTCCAGAGAAGGTGAACGTTTTCTTCTAGATGAGCTTGGTGAAGGGACTGGTAAGTTGTCAATATTTGCTGGGGATGATACTCTTTCTTGACTCAAAGATGGATGAGCATGCGGAGACTGTTGGGAATGGGTAGACCTTTCTGCAGAAATAGAAAATTGTCTCTCAGGTGACGGTGAAGCATTTTGAGGTCTCGGAGGAGAATGTAGACTAGAGTTTTCCCATACCATCCCTCCATTTTCTGAAGCTGCCATTATGGAGGAGTAATCATCTTCCTTCGGTTCATTATGGGCGCTCAAGTTTCCACCATCCATTTTTGCATGGACTTCAGGGTTCTCAGAATGAAATTTTGCTGAGGCATTTCCCACAACTCCATCCGTTGCTTCATCTAATGCAGGAGATATCGCAATTTGATGATGGTTTAAAGCTTCATCGCTCCTAACCACATAGCTGTTATCATCGCCTGTCAAAAGAGAATTATGAACTAATGAATATGAATCTTCAGTATGAAACTCATTGTCGTATGTTTCATTCAGATTACTATCAACAAAATCCTCAGAGTGAGCAATATGATAAGCATCCTCAGCCCCCTCTTTCTTATCGTTGCTCTGATAATCCTGCACTGAGAACCTCCGTTCACCGGCAGGATAATCAAAAGATCTCTCTGCATCATCACGATTTTCATTGGATTCAATAGGTAAGAGAGATTCTTCAGGGTATTTTGCAGGTGATATGGCTGCTGAGTTAGGATCTATAATAGGAGATTGCACGGCCTCATTTATAACATCAGCATGCATGACAGGTGAGCTAGGGTACTCATGATCCGAGAAGCCTTGCATTCCATTATTAGGTACATCACCTCCATGCTCAAAATTTTCATCCATCTGAGTGTCCTTGTTCCTAAATAAGTTTAGGCCTATACTTTCAACAGGAGGAGACCCATTCTCTTCTTTGATTCCTTCCCCAGCCTCTTCAGCTGAATCCATATCCGTCCTATCACAAGACTCAGAAAGGAATAAAGACATTATTTCTCAAAGTTAAAACAGAAGAAAGCAAGCAAACATTGGTAAAGCACACGGACTTGGTAAACTACGGCTTACGCTCAATTCAGAATATGCAATGGTAAGTAAAAAATAAAATAAACTATAGCTGAAAAGTACAGTTTGTATTATCGTTCATCATCAGTGAATGAAATGCACGAAACTAAGCATCAATAGTTGATTCTCTACCAGACTATCTTGTAAACTTCTAGTTTTGCTTGAAAATTAGTATTGATGTAGAATTGCTATTGATGTTGAAAATCCTATATAATGCATCGACATTTTATATACAGAGTGAAACATGGATCATGTATCACTTCATGGTCCTTCTATATATATATATATATATATATATATATATATATATAATATATATATTATCATATATATAATATATATATATATATAATATATATATGAGATTAATGGGTATCCTTGTCATAGGAGGGGATTTCCTCCTTGACGCCTCTAAAATCACATGATTGAGCGACATTATGGATGATCCGCTCCGTTGAACTTGATCTACATATTCTAAAACCCCAACACACCAAGTTTGGGGTGAATCCGTCGTCGTTCGACCCTCCATCGAGCCATTGTGAAAAGTTCTATTCATTCAAAACCGTTAAAATTGATACGAGTGGATGAAGGGCTCAAACGACGACGGGTTCACCCCAAACTTGGTGTGTTGGAGTTTTAGAATATGTAGATTCAAGTTCCAACCCGGAAGCGAAATTCACCATGAACTATTAACTAAATTTATGTAGTTGACTTGAAAAAATATTTTACTTTGATGTGTCTTTTGAGATGTGAAATAGGCAATAGTTGCGTGATCATTTAGCTAATTCGGTATCATGTTCCGCCATTGTTACAATTGGGGGCAGGACGAAAAGAAATACGGAAAAAATCTACTTATAGAATCAACATACAGAACTTTGTCATAATCTACTAAGTGGCCAACTCTAATTGCTCTTAAAAGATTCCGATGCTTTTCAAATTAATACCACCCCTATAAGTGAACACTGAACAGATTTTCGATCCAGTTTGTGCATGGTAGAAGGATGCATTTCCTATTATAAATCTCATGTCCAAGTTCTATGCCGAAAAAGACTTCTCTGGTTGCACGAGATCAGTGAGCTCATGACACGGTTGCATGACTTGAATTGTCAACCACGAAATGTACATCTTTGCACCAGCCAAGCAACCCGACATGATGGAGGTAGGAGTTAATAATGACGCGAGGATTGTCTTCCAACCGCCCCTCCCTAAATTCTCTTCAATTTTATGAAATGCTAGGTGCGCAAGAGCGGCAGGGAGATTGGAGAAGCCTTACGTATAGAAATCCTCCATTGCTTACCGATTTATTTCAACAATGGAGCCTTAACAACACTACTTAACAAAAATTAACCAACACAATTATGAGAAAGGAGCTAACGCAACAAGACAATTTCATAAATTAGATGAGATCCATATCATTCCTCTAATAATAATAATAATAATAATAAAACTATAATGAGAAAAACCCACGTTCTGGTTCCCAAATCACAACCCGAACCCTAAATTCGCAGCTTCAACGAACGATCCCCCAAAAAGGCCTAACTTTTCAAAACAATCGAAATCCGCCATCTACTTACCTCCAAAACCCCCAAAAAAATTCCAGGAAAAAACAAAATCCCAAAAAAGAACAGGGAGACTACAACTAAATCGATCAATTGCGCGTCGCATGCAATCGATTACGATGTCGGAGGGAAAAGGGAGTACCTCGGATCGAGCCGCGAGAGTGGAGCGAGGAATCGAAGCTAGATTTTGTTTTAAAAAGACGGATCCTTTTACTCGGCTAATCCCAGATAGTGAACAGTAACGCACAGAGGTTACGTGAGCCGCGGTCCGGTCACCGCCCGATCCCCGAAATCCTCGGTAAAGTTTGCCTTTTTCTGTTGGGGGGCTGGAGAGCTATTCTTACCGGGTGCGGTTGGACCCGAAGTAAATGGGCCGTATGGCTATGGGCCCTCCCTGACTACAATGGCTATTACATCCACCTTTACGTACAAAGAGAGATTAGTGGAATTCCAAGAGGTACAAAAACTTGACATGCATCCTATTGTATAAATTATAAAAAACTAACGTATACATATCATAAGTACTTAGTTGCCCTTTCATCGTATCAAAAGATGATATATGGACACTTAATAATATATTCGTCAAAAAATATTAAATTAAATCTATTCATAATTAGAAAATTAGAACGTTCAATTACTTTTAGTACTTATCAGATTATAATTATTTATAATTAAATTATTATATATGTAAATATACAAATTAAAGAAAAAAAAAGGCTCATGTGGATAATCTCTCTTTATAAAATTGTTGATTAATTTTAGAAAACTCACCCAGCGAGGGGAGAGGGGGTGGGGGTGTTAGGAAACCCTCCAACTATTTTAATTTGAGAAAATAACCCTTAAGTTTGGGCATATTATAAATAACTCCTCTCAACTAACCCATCTGAACTTGTGTCACTTAACCCCCATCAAACATGGTGTGTTTTAGAAATCTCCCTTCAACTATTTTAATTTGAAAACCCCCTTAAGTTTGAGCATGTTATAGATAACCCCCTCAATTTTGAAAACTCAAGAACTATTCTCACTTAATACATTAAAATCTCTCATGAATTCTTCTCACTTCACACCCTGAAAGCTAACATTTTTAGCTCTAGCATATCACATGATGACTAGATGACTTAGAAAAGATCAAAATACCTCTCAACCATAAAAAAAATCATTGTGCTCTTTTAGGATAAGTGAAAGAAATGAGAAGGAGGGGGAAAGCATTGTAAATTGATCAAATTATTATTTTTTAAAACTAATTGGAGGTTTCTTTATAACTGAATGGGTTATTCAAAAGAGTTTTTCAGTTGTTTTATATTTTAAATGACTTTAAGGGGGTTTGGTGAGAAAAATGTAAAAGAATAGGGGGTTTTATGAGACAATCCATAGTTGAGGAAGATTGTCTCAAATTTTTAAAGTTAGACATGCTTGTCTATAATATGTCCTAAACTATTAGGACTTGGGTGGGGTGGGGTGCGGGTGGGGTGTGGTGGTCGGGGGGGTTGAGTGGAGTATTGTGACACCCACACTTTAGTCCTATGTGTATAGGACTAGAGTGAAGAAATGTTAGTGATTTAAATAGAGAAAAATCTAAGATCCAAGAACAACTAGTATTAGCATTTTGGCAGTGGACTTTAGTCAACATCGAGTTGCTCTCGGTGGGTCCCACAGCTTGCACGCGCCAACGGACCCGTGGACCCGGGGCATGACATATGGTATAAGAATCATTTCTAGTCGAAAGTTTGGAGCTAAGTGCTATATGGGGCTAAGTGCTACACCGTATGGATGTAGTGGGTGTCACCTTTAGAGTCCACATCGTCTGGCAGTGACACTAGGATATGGCAATTATCATGTCGTGACGACGAGGATATCGTCTTTATAAGGTTGGGTGATTATGGCATCCCCACTTTAGTCTCACATGAACTAGTATGAAAAAATATTAGTAATTTAAATAGAGAAAAGTCCAATATCCAAGAACAACTAGGGCTAGCATTTTAGCAATGGACTTTAGCTAACATCAAATTGTTCTTGGTAGGTCCCACACCTTGCACGCGCCAACAGGCCCGGGGCGTGATAGTTTTCTAATATATCCACCATAGTTAAGGGGTTTTTCCCAAAATTAACCATAAAATTATATTAAAATTATACATGTGTGTAATTATATTTAAAGTTGATGGATTATTCTTCCTTTAAAATATTATTGATGAGATGGTCAAATTTTTTTATTTGTTATTTATTGATTTGATTCCATGTCTTTACTGATTTTTATTGGTTCACCCGTGTCTCTCATTAAAGCATTAATCGAACATGAGGCTACATAAAAAATATATTACATGCAAAGATCTATAAAATTAAATTATTTAAATAAATTGTCTAAAATGCTATCTCGAATTCTCCTTGCTTTATTTGATTTTTTGTAATAATTAGATTAGAAATCTAATAGGTTCTTAATATTATTCTAGGAATATTTGTATTCTTAATATTATTTTATAAATATTTTATAACCATGTATACATACTTTTCTATTTAGGTTGAAATTCTAATGCAAGCATCAGACAATTAAGGTTTAAGTGTGAGATTGTTTTAAATTATATCAATATGTGAAGACACTATATATCAACTAATGCTATGTTTTATTTTATTGTTGCATATTGCATAATTTAACTTAATGTGCTTTTTAGTTCATACCAAATCTCAAAAAGTTTTTAAATGTAAGATGATTTTGCCATCTGGTAAAATCTCTACAGTTCTTACAAGGAAGAGATATTTTCGATATTGTGATCATATAAGGACCTTAAAAATTTTTACATCCTTTTTTTATTTTTAAATATTATAAAAAAGAGGGATATATTTTTTTGATGGTTAAACTATCTAATTTGAAATTTTTGAAATAAAATCTATCCATGTGCTCATTTGGCTAGCTTTTTTTTTTGTTCTCTCTTTTTATCTTAGAATATTATAAATAAAGCTAAATACCTAAAGGATAGGCTAGTGGGTTTTTTTTTCTGAATTTTAAATTTTTAAATAAAAGTCATCCACCCCGTTATTTCAAATTTCTTTTAAGTTTTAAACTATTTGAAGAAAAAGTTTCAACTCAGATTATCTAATTTTTAATAATCCATATGCTATAAATTATTGGTATAAGCCATTTATATACTTATACCCATAAAAAATAGAGTATATATAAAAAATAGAAAAGAATAAGCAACATTAAAAAATAGCTCAATTTAACTTAGAAGCATATGCATATGACTAAAGAAACCTAAAAGACTAAACAAATCAGATATAAACAAAAGACCCCTAACTTTCCAAGCTAATGATGTAAGTTCAGTTCCTACTACTTCCTCCATATCACATATTCTACATGTAAAACTTGCAAAATACTTGTATTTATTAAGAATGACAAGTAGTGTATGGTTTCGTTTAGATTTTCTATAGAGTAACTGTTGCATGAAATAAAGCTAATTAGCACTTAAACGCCTTATGATTTCTCCTACTTCGCACATAATACCCTCACTTGGTTTTTTGCAAATACTTGTTACCTTAAAGTTTTTAAAATTTATGCTTTAATATCTTATGTCATGCAAGTGTGGGAATATTCCATTAAAATTTTCTATATAACACTCACATGCTAAAAATTTTTAATTTTTAAATGCTTATTCTTAAAAATAAAATCTGTTATTAAACATACTTTAATTTTATTTGAAACCCACTCAAGAATCTATTTTAAAATAAAATTTTGATAGACATCATAGCAAATGCAACAAAAAACTTAAGAATTAATAAGTTTTTGCAATTAGCATCTGAATGACACATGATATTTTTTAGTGAAGATATTTTCATGCTTGCGTAACATAAATTAGTAAGTGCAAACTTTAACAACTTTAGAATATATCAGTGTTGTAAAAAGCAAGTGAAGGGACATAAGTGTGAAAAGTGGTGTTATAGCATGCAAAATAGTTTAAGTGTAGATCCTATTAGGAGGTCGACACGTGTTCCAATATGTGCCTAAATAGCCATATTCACAGAGGGATGACTCGTGCAACTCTATGAGTCGATACCCAACAGGCCAACAATTTACGAAGCCGACTGAAAAAGCGGTACTTATCGACCTTCCCACAGGATTGAGATAAAAAGTATCCTCATTCGACCCACCACTCTAATTGACTTCACTCCTTATTGCCATTTGGCCCTTTCAGACCGACAACTTCTGAGACCAACTAAAAATGAGGTGAAGAGGCATCAACTTTGGTGAGAATTTTCACCTTGATCAGACAAGTTCAAAATCCAACAAAAAATTCAAAAAAAATTCATGGGTTTCAAATATACTAAGAAATAGAAAATTTTCACCTTGATCAACAATGAAGAGTGAAGCAGAGTAAAGAGGCATCAACTTTGGTGAAATTATAAGAGCTTGGTCGAGTCGAAGTTGGTGGCAGAGGTGAGTTTGGTCGGAGATGGTCTTGATGGAGTCGAAGGCGGATGCGAGAGTTGGCAACCATGAGCTTGGTGGAGTTGCGTAGGAAATCTAGGGATTTGGGGGCTAGAGGTGAGAGGCAGGGCATATGCGACATGTGAGAGGCGGGGCGAGGCGGCGTCGAGAGATGAGAGGCAGGGCGGCGTCGAGAGATGAGAGGCAGGACGACGGTGGGATGTGAGAAGCGACACAGAGGTGAGATGCAAGGATTTGGGGTAGTGATAAAAAGGGATAGAAAAATTAGGGTATGAACTTTATACGGGGAAAACATAGGACAACCAGTCCCTTGTTTATAAAAAATTCATTAGGGCGGATAATTACACCACTAAATACGCGAGACTACTAGTCCCGTATATTTAAAAGTTATGCTCATTACAAAATCGACTTTTTCTTGACCAGATATGATGATGTTAATCGATTTTGCTAATTTTATATTAAAAGAGTCAATTTTGCTAATAAACATTCCAAAAGAGCCTTTTTAAAAAATTATCCTTATTTCAATGGAGTTTAATCATACATCTTGGCCGTTGATTTTCAGTTCGACAGCGACCAACCATAAGCTTACACGTATTTCCATGAGCGTCAGCGTTGACTTGTATGTGTATTACCACGTGGGTCACGTGAGGCACAATTATCCACGTGTCGCATCTAAAGGATATTAAACACGGGAGGTGAGTTTACCGCCTACTCATATTGTGACAGATATTGAAAATGTGTACCTAACAGATGGAAGTGGATTCATATAAAATTATTTCTAAAATAGATTCCTATCATTTTCATAAGTCATCCCCTGCCACATCTTCGCTATCTCTTCAATCATGAAGATGCTCATCTACTGAAAATGGGAAATTATAAGGAGACAAAATTTGGTTACTCAAATATACTATAATTTTTTTTTAAGCGTGGCATTACAAGCACGCCACCAATCATAACTTGGGGCACACCCCTCTCTTAGCTACAGTGCATGAGGTCCACATTAAAAATTTTAAAAAAATTTTCATGTGGGTCCAGTACACTGTAGCTGAGAGAGGGGAGTGTGCCCCAAGGTGTGGTTGGTGGTGTGCCTATACCATTTCTCTTTTTTTAAACCGTGGTAAAATAAGAGAATAGACTTTTGATTGGTTACAAACAAACAAAGACACAATAGAATTTGAAAATGACTTTTTATGTTGTCTTTCATGAAGATCTACGCTTGAGGTTGGTGTGGTATGTTATTTGTTATCTAAGTTTATATCTAATTTAATGCTATTATTAAAGGAAGTCAGTTATTTTGGATAGGTAAGTTTCATTTTCAGAACTCTGAACATATTCTGAAAATTGAAAACCAATGGAAATGTCTTAATACTAGGAAAACTCTACTGAAATATCCTTGCATCCCGAAAAATTAACGAACACACACACACACTCTCTCTCTCTCACATGAATACTTAACGAAAATACCCTCATCATTATAAAAAAAAATGAAAACATCCTCATGGTTACAAAAATAAAAAATAATAAAATTTTCTTAATAATTTGAGTATAACTCACCCTTATGTATTATGTCATACATATATTATGTGAACTGGAATACTAAAATAGGTTGAGCTTAGATTCATATTTAATGTAAGTGCGTCCGGCCCAAATCCACTAATAAACCAACTTTATACGTAAATTACTTTGCGTTCACATAGGAATCATCGTTTAAAACTATCATAAATACAGATAATATAGTTTAATTTTAATTAAGAAACAGTCTGTTACTAATAATGACAAACTAAAAATAAATAAAAATGGAACGAAAAAGGAACTTTCCTCGTCATTTAAGTTGTACACGGTCTTCTTCCAAATTTTGATTTGGGTTTCTTCGTCTAAAACCCACAAAATCTCAACTATAAATATTTTGTTGCTTTCGTTGAAAATAACCAGGATTGGCATCTGGGTTTTCGTTTATTCGCAGTCAAATGCTGGGAAAGAATCAAGTCTAAGTTCGCAGCTCCAATCTTGGTTCTGTTCACAAGTATACCAGGTGCTTTTTCTCTAATTTTTTTTTTTGTTTATTATATTTTTTTGTTAACTTGAGGATTGACAAGATAATTTGTATTGCTGATATGGGTTTTCTTCAAAATCCAATCTTGAAATCTAAATCTTATCTCTCTCCCATGAAATAGATTAATTCAGTTGATTTATTAGTAGATAGATCTGTATTTTTGTTCACAGTTCAATCCTTGGGTGGGTTCTCAAGTATATATCTAAGAACTTTTGATCTATATTTTCAGTTGAAAAAGGAATATTTGATGATTTAAAGATTAAGATCATCATAAATTCTCAAGAGAAGAAAGAGATATGGGTATTTGTTGCGGCAAAGGCAACAACACAAGACCAGAATCCAATGGCTATTCCTTGTACCAAAACCCATCATCACCTTATGAACCAAGGAAGCCTTCTCCCATTGGACAAACTCATCAGCAATCGAATCAAAACCAACCGAACTCTCCATTGAATCCGACTCCTAAACCCCAGTCCCTCGTCCAACCCGACGCAATCCTTGGCAACCCCTATTCAGATGTTCGCTCCTTCTACACCCTTGGCAAAGAGCTCGGCCGTGGCCAATTTGGTGTCACGTACCTTTGCACCGAGAATTCGACTGGCTTAGCTTATGCTTGCAAGTCCATTTCCAAACGAAAGCTTAAGAACAAGAACGACAGAGAGGACATCAGAAGGGAGATTCAGATTATGCAACATTTAACGGGGCAGGCCAACATTGTGGAATTCAAAGGAGCTTATGAAGATAAGCAGTCGGTGAACCTTGTACTGGAATTGTGTGCTGGCGGAGAATTGTTTGATAGGATTATTGCCAAGGGCCATTACACGGAGAAAGCTGCCGCGGGGATTTGTCGAGCAATTGTGAATGTAGTGAATATTTGCCATTTTATGGGAGTGATGCATAGAGATCTTAAGCCGGAGAATTTCTTGCTTGCTACTAAGGATGAGAAGGCGATGCTTAAGGCTACGGATTTTGGGCTGTCAGTTTATATTGAGGACGGTAAGAGTTATCCTATTCTCTTAATTAAAAGACATATATGCTTTTAATGATATTGCAACTACTGTATATCACCATTAAGCTATTTGAAACCTCTATATCTAATTAAGATTCTCTGTACCTTCTCTAATAACCCTCAAGTCCTCGACATTTTTTATCTTAAGTGCATTGCTCCTCTTAAGTTTCTTCTGATAATTTTGGTGCGAGTTTGTTGACCTGTCCCTCGTAATTCTTTATGATAGATATAAACCTTAGTTGGTTTAGATCAAGTACGATCTTAGAAAAATAAAATAATAACGGATCCAGGCTTCTTTTGGTTTAAACTTCAATCTTCCGGAGGAATAACTAAATTAAGGCTTTTGTATTATAAAATCTTAATCCTGTCAATGTACTCACTCGTAAGATTTATGTAGTACCTGAGCATACTCCTGAACTAAACACCTATTCAACTCAAATTGAATCTCACGTACGGAGGCAAACTCGAGCTTGACTGTAAGCTTATTGGTCTCAATTAAATAAATTTATTATTATTGTAAATGAGGCTCTTCTAGGTCTGCTGCATCATTAAAGTTATCCAGGATAAAATGAATGATTATTTGGCTTTGCATTAATAAAAATACCCCCTCTCAATTTTTAAGATGGCAAACAGGGAACATAGCTTCGAGTGCGGTATGCTAGCTGCAAGCAGTTTTGATGCCTTTGTTATGCCCTTGATTTTGGAATGAAGTGAAAAGAGACAAAAAAAGCGAAAGTTCTGAATGGTGGTTGGGAGTGATATGAATTGCTTCCTTAATAATATTAGTTGCCAGGTACCAAAACACTGATTGTTTATATAGTTTTTACACATGTGATGTCTACAATAAAACACTAACCACAGAATACTTGTAAATAGACTCAGTCTACAG